TAAGAAAATTGTTAATGGTAATTTACCCATAATTTAGAATCTAGATGATTCTGAGCAACATCAAAATTGCTTTATGATTAAATTATGAGTGAACTTTTGCAAATTTGAAAATATTAAAAAAGATGCTTAATGTAAATTATTTGAACATAGATGTCAGAATTCAGACGTTCATACAGTCAATAAGGATATTGTTTCTCTAACCTTTAAGCTGAAATGCATGTGTGTGTTTTTAAACTCATTCTACATTTAATTTCTAGATCAACTTCAGCGAAGTTTTGAGAATATTCACTTTAAAAATCTTTTTCAATACCTTATTTATGCTTCTTTTTAATTTCGAATATTGATAGTTTCTAATATTGAGAATTCTTCAAACTTTAAACATCAATTTTAAAAATTGAAGCTTCTGTAAAGTTGCAATTCCGATTTCATATTCCAATTCAATTTGAAATGTTAATTTAAACCAAAACTAGAAATCGAGAAGCAGCAGCAGAAATAAAATTCACGTAACTATTCATGAAGTATCCCATCGAGATTTTTAAGTTCGTCGAACTCTCTTTCTCACTCCTTTTTATTATTTTCGATTTTATTACACTTCAAATATTGCTTAAGAAACAAAAATAAATAAACATTAAAAATAAATTCTACTTCCTTATGCAAATCATTAATTTTCATTTCATTTTATATGCAAAAAAATAACATCAGACACATCATCGACTACTAATGAGAACTAAATTATATCATAATCACATATGTGGTATTTCTCAGCACATTCACAGCACCACAGGATTCGTAATTTTCACTTGATACTGATGTCATTCCATTAATAATGAAAAATGAATTTAATTCAGTTAAAATATTAATTTTTTTGCGGAATTGGGGGCATTCATAAGTAATGTCGATTAAAAATTAAAGTTTTAGACTCTCATTGTAAGAAAATTTTCATACAGAAAGTATTTAAAGTATCGCAAAATCTAAGACACGGATAAGATGCTAAATGATGGACGTCATTAGTGAATAACCCCCACGCCGATAAGTCGATAATGCGAATAATGGAAACAAATAGCACACAAAAATAGCAGATTTCATTAATGAGATTAAAACGTAATAATGATGAGGCAATAGAAGTGATATGGACGCATTTAGAAAGAGAAACTTCCTCAATCCGTTTTTTCTACTCATATTTTATAAGAAATCGATAAATACTTTGGAATTGAATTCAATAATAATAATAAAGCATATCCATAGTTGGAAGATAGTTTTTTTTTGCGCAATATTTCGTCACACGGTATTGAATATTGAATAATACTGTAACTGAATAAGCAGGCAGGCAGTGGACATAGCAGGCGCATGAGAGGAAGTATGTGTATAATATTTAACCAAAGATCGGTACCATTTGATCAATAACGATCTTTCTTTTCATTTATTTTCTTTTCTTGCTCGGTTCCAATGCTTAAAATGACTTTCACTCTCATTCGGATTGAATACTTTGTCAAGTCTTTACATGGGCAATCGCAACTTCTTTAAAGAGAAAGAATTGAGACACATACAATTGAGCATTTTACTTCTTCTTCTTCTTTTTTTACCTTCTTTGTTCCCACAGAATTCTATTGTGCATTATGGGCATTTGTTATATTTCCTTACTGCATACAAAGAGTCCATCATATATGGGCTTTTTTGAGAAATTCATTTATGTGAATATGAATATGTCAAGCATTGAAGTCTTTCCTATTGCGCGATATTGCTGCTTGCAAAGTATATTCTGCTGTTGATTGCGAAAAATTGAATGTTCTGCTTGGGAGGGTCAGTTGAAAATAATGTTCACAGAAAATATTTTTTTTATCTATCAAGGGAACGTCAGGTTCATTTTATCAATATTCTGTTCACAAGGTTTAGTTTCGTATCATCGTAATTCAAATCACATGAAGTTAAAACTGTTAATGCGAGAGTAAGAACACTGAGGCCTAGTATTAGGGCAAAAGAATTGAAATCTCTAAATGTTTTTCCTGCGGACGTGGGTTTGATTCCTACTTAAAGCCAATCTCTCAATCATTACATAGAGTGCTGTTGATATGATAAGGATAATTCTGTAGCTCACATTGCAATATCTCAAGCTACATTTGGTTGCCAGTTTTGTTCCTTGAATCTTGAACATTAAACATTTGAAATGTCAATATTATTGATAAATAAATAAATTTGAAAAGGGTAGGATTCGAACTTTGGCATGACTTTAGTTCCTAGTGAACCAACTTTTAGAACAAAAATAATTCTATAGATTTAATGACAAAAATGAGACATCATTTTTAAATCACAGTCTTTATTGCAATAAAATTCTGTTCTCATTTCTCAATTATATAAATTATTAAAATAAACTCAAAACACTTACAGCACGTGAACATTTTACACAATCACCGCGAATTTCAAATTCAATAAAATTTAATTTAATTTAATTGCAAAAAATTAATTAAACAACAATAATGCTGATGACACAAAAAAAAATCAATTGCTTTAAATTGTTTCACAAAAGCAAAATCGGGTTCAAGACTATAAAAGATAATAATAATAATAAAAAAAAGTCTCGATTATGCATAAAATATAAATTGCACTAGCATTATTTATGTTTCTGTTACTCTTTTTTTGCAACATGCCGCACACATACTCTGTTTTTTTCATCTCTTCAACCTCTTTCCGGCACTTAACAAACTGCGAATTTTCTTCACTTTATCTTTGGAAATGAAAAATGTTCGAGTTGAGTGTGACTAATTGGTTGTAGCGCATTTAAATTAGATAGGTGAATGTTATGTTGGTAAAAGGTATTTTGAAGGTAGAAGATAGACTTCCCGTTATTCGATCAGAAATCTGGCACCAAGTCGGTGTGAGTCTGGTATGGTGCCGGATTTAAATCGAAGCTAGCACCATGCCAGCTTTGCGTCAGGTCTCGATTCGATTAACCAATTTGTACTATTCAGGCTTAGTTTTCTAAAGCATAAAAATTGGCTATTTATTCTATAATAATGCAATTACGTCGAAGACAGAATGATGAAAATTTCAGAGTATATTGTGTAGATCCATCTTTTTAGTGGTTTTTAAACTTTTTGGGAGGGTTCCTCTATTAAAACCAGACCCTTTGGATTCGCAACACACCCAAGGGATCTGTTTTGACTAGGAATGTTCTTTGAAGTGGTATTAAGCTGTATTAAGTTCTGCCCTTATGTTTAGTCAGCAAAATCTATCATTAAGAGGCTAGAGTTGGTTGACTCTTGCTGACTTCAAAAATAGTCAAAAATCAATTAAATAACTCCACATCCTTGCTAATGATTGGAGATAACTAAGAATATCCACTTGCCAGACAATATAAAATCAAAAGTTCACCTGCAAAAATTCAGCTAAAAATTATTATGAAGAAAACTTTAACTTTACCGCAAAATCGTTTAACAATAATTAATGTTTGCTAATTTGTTAACGAGCGTTAATCGTTCTGTGATCTGCAAAGATCTGCAAAGTACTTTTCATGTGCCTTTCTTTCTTCACAACTCTCGTTATTTCACCTATTCTTTGCAACTAATGCGGTCGAACTTTACATAAAAGAACTTTGAAAAAAAAAAATTATAATAACAATGCACAAAATTGGAATATGTGAATGTACAAATGATAACAAAAGAAAAAGTGCAATTGGTATTTTAAGTTACGATGTCGTTGTTCTTAAAACCACAAATTCTGTTAATTGAATTTTCTTCACAATTTTTATTAATGTGAAATAAAAGTGAAACCTGAAAGGCGTTTATGACTTTTAAAAAAATATTCAAATGGTCATCAAGTTTTTGTGGTTTGACTTCGAAATATTAAATATATTACTTCTATAATGGCTGATTGGCTTTTATGAGCGAAAAGCAAGTGTAACACATTTTATATTGTTAAATGTCAAGAGAAAAAAAAAAACAGTTTATGAGTTTTTTTGAGATGTTTAATGACTTTTTGTAATTGAATATTGTTAATTTTATATGCAATAAATTTGGGGTTTTGGATGTGAGATGGTAAATGGTTTAGCTGTCCACTTAGAGACTTTAATTCTGATTTATTCTTATTTTCATAGGGGTTGTCCACTTATGACGTTCGAGTGGATGATCTAAGATTTTGTGAGAGTTCAAACAAAGGAAATTTTTTCGATGCAAATTTTGTGACAGAGGGGTGAAGAATGGTCTTAAAATCATGTTTTTTGACGGACGTCATAAATGAATTACCCCAAAATCATACCTGAGCTTCAAGCTCTAGAGATCTTAGCTTTCATCATCGCTATTTCGAAATAAGACGTTTTTAAGACGTCCAATAACCTAAAGTATCCCATCTAATTTGCCCAAAGTATCCTTGGGTGTCTACCTTACACTATGCATGGGGTAGGAGATGAAGTATGCAAATTACATCAGAAAACCCTGTTTAGCTGGATAAAGTAAAGGAAATTGTCTCAAGCAGCCCTAGAAAACCGACAGTACTTATAACACTAGTTTTAGGAAGGAACTTTTAAAATAATTAAACCTTTGACATAACTTCTTGAATTTCCAATTAAATTCTCCTCAACATTCAGACACGGAATCTCACTTTTGCTTAGTTTATTCACCTTTCTAAACCTTCACTTAAATACCCATAAATATTTATTTCACTAACAACAAAACAAACGTTTTACATACTGAATTTTCACACATTTTAAACACTTATTATTTTTACCGCATCTTCTCCAGACTTCAAATAATATTATTTATCTGAATTACTTACATTTTTCCCTTGATCAAAAAACATCACGCAAACTAATAAAGTTACTTAAAAACAGACTGTTGTTGCGTCTTGGCACTTAATAAATAATTAAAATTTTACATCCAAAAATTATACAGACTCTTCCAAAATATATAGCTACTTTTCTTGAGAACTTGGAATATGATTAAACAAGTGTTTTTCGATTGGAAGTGAATTTTACTCATATTATCATAAAACTTTTAGTTGTCGATAAGGTTTTGATAAGGAAGGATGAAGTCTATATTCATTTTATCAATAGCATTAGCTGTCATTGCAGGTATTTAAAATTGAGGTTTAAAGTGAAGCTTGGGTTTAATATTTTTGGATACTTTAATTGAGAACCTGCTGAATTAAGTGAATATTTTAGTGAAGTTAAGAAGGCTAAACTGAAGTTTTATGCCGCAAGACTTGATTTTGGATTTATGAATTCAAAAACAATTTAAACTCAAAAATCTGATATAAATGTTGCTGTCTTTTAAGACACTTTGGGCTATTACTCTGTGCTTAGTATCAAAATTGCGCCAATATAAACTTAAATATTTACTTCTAGTCCAACTTGAAGCCAAAAAGCTGCACAAATGTTATTATTTGATCACCAAATGTCCTCGACCTACAATACCATGTCCTATGCCAAGCATTTGTATAAATGGAACACTGCGTCATCAGGATGGAGGCTGTTGCTGCATTCGTAAGTATATAAATAGATGATTTTGCTATAAATTAACAAAACATCTTTTTGAAATGACATTTAAATTATTTCACATCCAGCACAATGCGAAGAGAATGAAGTTTTCTACGAACGAGCTCCAAGTAAGCCTTTTTGTTTCGAGTTTACAAGAACATTTGTGTTTACATACACAACTACGTAATTTATTATTTTTCTTTAGTAACTGCAGATCCAACATGTGATGTACAAACTCCATTCCCATCAATGCTGGGTGGTCGATCCGGGTGAGTAAATAATTACTGCTCAATTTGGCAATACCTCTGCTGTTTAATTTTACTGCATTTACTCCATTTAAGAGATTTATGCGAAACTAATCGACATAAGTTCAATTATAAAATTTGATAACGGTATGCTGGTGCTAAAGTGAAGCCAGGAGGTCTATATTTATCTGATATTGAAGTTTATCTTAGTGATCACTGAATATAGACCTCCTGACTCCACCACTGCACCTTTAAAGTACCGGCATTTACATGAATCGCAATAAAATTGATTTATTTTATCAAATTAAATTAATTTCTCGATTCTTTTCGATTTTAGATGCTTTTGCAAGTCTGGTTATGTTCGCAACAAGGAAAATAAGTGTGTTCATATCGACGAATGTCCAAAACCAATAAGTAAGATTGGAATGAAATTTTTATGTTGAGCCATAAAACGGAGAAAAAAAAAATTCTTTAATTTTAATTGCAACGAAACATTAACAAATTTAAGGTTTGGCTACTTAAACTTTTCTGACCAAACCAAAGATAAAGTGTCTGTGCTTTTTATTCAATTAATCATTTAACGACTGTTAATTAAATTTCTTAAAGGAAAAAGAAAATCATTCGCAAATTGACGCACATATGTGGTCATTTAAAAATCAATTAAAAGTCTTCTTATTTCATTAAATTCAGCGGCATGCCATAAAAATGAAACCTACAGTGAGTGCGGACAAATTGCATCTTGCGAGGCTACATGCAGTAAACCATTACCATATGACATGATGTGTCCTGCTATTTGTAAAAAGGGGTAAGATTTTATTTTTGATATTTTGCGGTGAATTAAAATATTTTCGTGATTTGTGGTTGGGTTGTGATGTGAATTGTGACATTTCTGGTGAGATGTTGTGAGTTCATAATGTTTAAGAGTCATAGGCGTAGTCAAAAATATTTGGAATTTATTAAGGGTTTAATGTTTGCTCAGAAAGGGTTTAATTCTGAAAATCCCCTTAGCTACGCCCTATCAAAAATAATTTTCTAAAGCGTTAGTCTCATTAATGTTTTGAGATTTCATGAGACAGTATCCACTGAGTCCTTAAACCCATAAGTATAAATGACGTCGCATTTTGTGAGGAGGGAATTCTGGAGTTTTGTCACGATTTAAATATAAGAAATTTTTTCTATATCAACTTCAACTCAAGAGGCATTAATGGCCTAAGTAGTAGAGCGTTGGTTTTATGAGCCAAAGGTCATAATTTAATTCTTTGGCTCATAACGTGTCTCATTTGATAAGTATACGAGGACATACTAGCATCTGGATGATTTCATTACAGCATCTTGTGAACACGAATATTTAGTAGGTTCATTGTTGGGTCTTTGAACGAACTCGTGCCTTTGCAATATAGAAAGCTTGCAAGCGGTTCAAATTTTACTATAAATTGTAGGTCGAAAGGGTTTAACACAATATATTTACATATACACCAATTTCAAGACAATGGGCGAACGTAAGGGGGATCTTAAAAATCGCATGTCCCGATCGACGTAATTTATAAACAGTGCCTAAGCTAAATAATTATTTTTAATATAATATTTTCCTTACCAGATGCTACTGCAAAGACAGGTACGTTCGCAATAAGAACAGAAAATGCATACTTCTTGAGGACTGCCCTGATCGTAAGTCTTAAAACTTATTGCAATGAATTCATTTTAATAAAATAATTTTTGATTTTTTAAGCTGAATGTAGAGAAAATGAGGAATTCTTAAAACGTTACCAACGTAAGTATAGCGAATTGTGATTTTTCAAAGATATCCATACTTTTATCAACGAATATAATATTAGTCACAAAGCTATCATCCCTAAAATTAAAATCTAATTGTCACATAATTTTCAGTATTTTATACAATAATTATTTAAATTCTTTTCCATTATCTTTTCAGTATGCACTGAACCAACTTGTAAGTTCTATCAAACATTTTTAACCCGAAAATTATGTAAAATTTATTTATCATATACCAAAAGGTGAGCATCCAAGAACATATTATTGTGGACAACAGTACAAAAAGGGCTGCTTTTGCCAAAAAGGCTATGTCCGGAACAAGGAAAAGAAATGCATAAAATTAGAAGAGTGTCCAAACGAACCGCATCAGCATGAGCTGTAATAAATTACAATATTATGTATATATGTAAATAGGGTACACGATATTGACGGTATATTTCTCAGGATTAATAAAAAAGAATTTTAATCGAATTTGGTACTTTTTTAAATATAATTCTCATCCCACAGTTCCAGCCATCAGCAACAAAGTTGCGTACTAAAAATATGAAATCAATGAGGAAGGGAAACATGATATAATAAAAAATTGCAATAAACCGCTAAGAAAAGCAAGAAGAAGGAACGACAAAGTAAGGCGTAAAAAAATCTTGCATTGCCTTATTCTACTCATCTTTGCGGCAGCAGCCACAATCCATTTTCACTTCACATTTTATTCATTGCTGCGCGTACACATCCAATTTTGGTTATGCTGCCTTAATGTAATTCAGTCTTGTATGAGAAAAAGCTAAAGTGTTAGAACTTAATAAATGACTGAATTTCTGACTATGTCCGAAGGTGCTGAACAAATGATCCGCAAATAAATTATTAATGACTTACCTTAATTAACATCATATCTAAAAGTATCTTTAGCAGATTCACGAATTTTCTCATCCAATTGCTTCTTAAACATCTCTTCGGCCTCCAGTGTCACTTCCATACGATTATTTGCGGAGTCGGTGAGCTTTTGCATAATTGTATCATTAATTTGTGCATATTTCTTTAAATTGGCATAATCGAGAATATAAATCTCACAAAATTCAATGGCTATTACATTGGTTATGCGCTTGGGGGGAGAAAAGTCAAGAAGAATTCCAGCCATGAGAAAATGGAAAGGCATGAAAAAAAATATTATCAATTTATGAGAAGATTGGCAATAATTTTTTTTTCTGTTCCTCACCTTTCTGTTCTTTAAGATGAAGGCAATTTCGCCAAAATAATCACCATCTTCTACATGACATAACTCTTGTCCATTTGAGGTTGTTACGCAAACGCTTCCTGATGCAATAAAGAACATACATTCACCATCTGTTCCTGCTTTAACAATCTGAATGTAATATTATAAAAAATTGTGAATCAATGTATTAATTCCAGCCAAGCAATGCTCAAAGATACTCAAACTTCTTCAATAATTGTGAAAGGCCCCAGTGTGGAAGAATGGAAGCAAAAGTGAGAGAAAAATTACGTTAAATGGAATCCCTAGCGAGACTAACTAGCAAATTGCTAGTCTTTCTATTTTACTACTTGCAATTTACTAGTTATTATTAAAACAACTTACTATTAGTAAATTACACTTACTATTTAATAGCAAATTACTAGCAAATTTCCATGAGAAATGTTTGATCAAATCTTCTTAAGTTCGAATCCTACGAAAAATCATCAAAAAAAGAAATTTTTGCATCATAAAAAATTTTGTTCTAAATTTGGCATTTGCCATATACTTCACAAGAGCGCGCAGAAATCACCTTTATAAGGTCGATCCAAATTTGTATGAGACATTCAATTTAATTATTTATCTTCCTCAGGTTTGCGTGCGAGTCATAAGCGTTCATCAGTGTTTGACTTAATTAAATTAAGTCTTTTATTTTTTTTCGTAGTATTAGTGTACTTTAATTAATTAAACTAAGTACACACTAATACTTTTACAATAATTTACACAAATAAAAAAATTAAAAAACACGTGGAAATCAACGGTTATATTCATTTAAATTTTTTACAAATTTACTAGTAAATTACTAGTTAAATTGTAAGCGAATTGACTAGTCAATTAGCAAGTGAAAATGCGGGTCTTTGGCGATGATTTGAACTTGGATTTTGACTAGTAAATAGCAAGTAGCAAATGGAAAGTTATCCAGTAAATTACTAGGAAATTACTAGTAAATTTCTGCTAGGGAATTTACCAGATCATTAGGAAGGAATTGCTCCTTTCTGCAACTGGCAGCAATCGAACTGACCAGACTACTCGGTATGTTTTTAAACAACTTTACGCGTTCCACAAATAACTTGTCTGCATTTATTAAAATTTCACGTTTCAAGGGTTCTGCAAAAGGCAAAAAAGAAATTTATGTTTAAAATTATTATTATTATGAGATTTCTTCAAGACAACATAGAGGCACAATAAGCTATGGATATAGTAATTGTGTGCGAACAATATTTAATGAACAATTGTGTGTTTACGACGTGAGATTACATTTATTCGATCAGGACGTAAATATTAAGTGTTAGCTTACCACCAAGGGATGGCTGTTTATTTATTAGACAGCTTTGATGGTTTTGAGAAATTTATGAGCGTGAGAAATTTTTTCTGGTGATCAAAGAGGTGGATTTAGGAGGAACTTGCTTTAGACATAAGAATTTTTGAGTTTTATTGTTGCACTTTTGTCCTGGTACGGGGTCATTAACTTATAAAGCCAATTATTAATGGGAATGGATCTAATGTGACAGTGTGACATGAAAGTTTTGCTACTGGACGTCGAGAGATGGGGTCGAATATTCTTAAAATCGTATTTTTTGATGGAAGTCATCAAAAAATTACCCTTTTGCAGGCTTCACACATTAAGTCAGCCAATATCAGCTAAATCCAAACCCACCATTAACATTCTGTCTTCCCAGCATCCAATATCCCCTGTACACTATGGCTAAAGCTACATAAGGTCATCATTAGATCCTAAAAGTCACCACACCTTGCACAAAAGTATCATATTAACCACTTTGTTGCCAGTGAAAATTCCAATCAAATCTATTTAAACACACAAGCTGAACACTAACGTGAAAAGTGCCATAACCAATTATTCCACTCACCAGATAATATATCCAAAATTTCATCTTCCTTGAAATATGATTTACGAAATTTCTTCTTGTAAAAGAACCTTAGCCTCTGCTGTAAGTGCATTGGAAATTGCCTTTTCTTCATATATGCATTCAGTTGGTTCATAATTTCATAATATTTCGTTCTCGATGAATGAATAATGTTCATGATGCTTAAAATTTGTACAAGAATATACAAATTGTAGCCAAGTCCAATGAACATGCATCCTGCTGAGATTAATTTTCCTGGAATGTAAACATCCGTGTCACTACCAAATGACGTATCGAAAAATGCCCAAATGATAAAGTCAAGAATCCGAGAATATTTGATGTAAAATGGCACGTCAGGGTTTAATAATTCGACAATTGCAGGGCTCATTTGATTCGGAAGATACAAGTACTGCAATGAGATTCAAATCAATCAAATTAAATTCAATGTCTATGTGTCTAAAACATATCCAGTGCTACATAAAGAAAATATGTAGAATGAAGTGATGTGTAATAATAATAACTATAAACGTCGCCTTACATAAAATATACTCGAAGCGACAGCCTTGAATGCGCAAATGGAAATTTGAATGAACATTGTGGAGCGCAGCATGAGAATAATGATTATCTTCGTCACATGACTCAATTTGAATTTCTGGAATATATACACGAAAAAATCAAATCATGATTTTAATACTCAAGTGCACACTTATCAAATTCCTCAAGTGCTTTTTATGTTCAATAATAACTAAGAATGTCTATAATCAACATCATCGTATACTCACAGTCATAAGATCATCAGTGTAATTTTGTGCACGAGGAATCGATGAAAATCGAAAGAATTTGAATAAGAAGACAATATGAAATGTTATAATTCTCAATGTGGTTATAGACTTTATGGGATTTTGATCATCTATAAGCCGATAAATTGAAACGAATGGTAACGTCGATAGGAAGTCGAAAATAAATTGGCTACGTAAGTAATTTCTGAAAAGATAACGAGAGTTAGATGCTTTAAGGAGATATTTGATGGAGAAATTGACTGCTTGATTGGATGTTCTCAAAGCGATTTTCGATGATGTATGGCAATATTTATATCAAGTCAGGGTTAAGCGATGCTTAAGGCATAAAACTCTTTAATAGGAATTTTTTTAAAAATGTCAAAATTTAATGGTCTCCAGACAGAATTTGGTATCTAAATGGGACTTAAAGAGTTGAGCAATTTAATCATAACAGATGTCTTGATCCAGATCAGTGTTTCTCAAACCTTTTTAATTCGCGTGCAATCAAGGCTCCCGCAGATTATAGTCTTTGTATGGGATTATTTAAAGATTAAGTTATCAATGCCAGTGCCACTAGTTTCTCCAATTATTGCTTTTTAAGTAGAAATTCCTTTGCATCAACTGATTCAAAACTTAGAATTTACAAGTCCTACATAAGACCCATTCTGACTTATGGCTGCCCTATTTTCCATAATGCTGCTGAATGCCATGTTAAATAGCTCCAACTTTTCCAAAATAAACTACTTCGTATGATCTTAAACATTGACTGGTATGACTTTCAATCAACCAGAGAGATTCATGATTCAGCGAAAGTTCCGTTAATTTTTGATTTTACTTCTCGTCTAACCAACAACTTTTATGCCAAAGTTGTAATTCATTCCAATGATCTATTTTCTTCATTAGGCCGATACAATAAAGACTCACTGGGTTTTCGAGTAAAACATAAACTACCGAAACGTTTACATTAAGTCCTCACCCGTCCTCACAATTTATTAACTAGTTATTTTTTTTCTATTTTATTTCATCTTACTTTTATTTAAACAAATATTGATCTTTTTTGTAACTTTTATTTTTTTGGCCAAACCTCATTGCATTACTATTTCACTTCTTTCTATTACTTTTCAATTCAACTCATAACAAAATTTGATTTAAAACCGTTAGGTTATTATCAAGATAATTTTCTTATTGTTCCGCCAAAAATGTTCCATCAATTAAAATAAAGGATTGTTATTATTATTTATTTTAAAAGATTATAATCTGCGAGTCCTTAAGAGCAAAAGATCATCCGTACATTTTTCCGCTGATCACAGTTTGAGAAACACTGATCTTGATACTACATCAGCCCCTTTACTTTAATATAAGCGTTGTGTTGCAAGAAGATTCGGCTTCATTCTCAATTCTATAAACCATCAGACTTCTGAGTAGTCCTGATTGTGAATGAATAAATATTGACAATCTTCCCACTCAACAAAGCACAAAGTTCAATTGACGTCAGATTCCCGAAAAGCCTAATTAAATCCTGTGCACGCTGTTATATAAATAAACATATTCAAAACTTCTAAAAAGAAACCTAATAACTTGTCATATTCCCCAAGGAAGCTTAATAATTGAGAAAAAAAAAAAACAGCAACTGCAGAAGAATTCCATTCCTATCGCCTACACATTATTCCTATTTCTATCACAACAAAGTTTAATTGAATTTTTTTTTATCAATTTCCTACCACCGCTCTAGTTTAATAAATTTAAAGTAATTTGATTTTAATTCAAACCACAACAAATAGACATAAAGAGAGCAAATATTATGAGCCACACCCACTTTATCATTTATTTTATTTAACTCCCCTTCAATTACACTTTATTTGTTGAATATGCAATTGAAAAAAAAAACAAAGTTTACAAGAATAAGAAAATGAGATCTTTATGCCTTCAAGGTAAGACAATAGACGTAAATAGTTGTGAGTTATTTTTTTTTTGCTGGGGAGTTCTTTATAAATGACGTCTAATACAGTGTTTCCCCACCTCATTCTCGAAAAACTTCGAAATTGCTTCGAAATTAATGTCAAAAACTTCGAAATTTAAGCCGATAATTTGAATTTTAACTGTTGGTTATATAAAATGTAAACAAAGAAAAAATTTGAAATCAAAATCAATGATTTTAGCTACTATTAATCATGATTTGTCCTAATCAACATAATCTCTGTAATGTTTTATCACTTTTAAATAGTTTACACCACAACGGTGAGCTTAAATAAGCAATTTATAAAGGAAATTATAATTTATGAATTCATTTACTAACACATTTACATGTTTTGTTAACTTTTGATATTTTTGTCGTGAAATTTTTTAAATTTCACATTTTTATTCTTTTATCTAAACATTTTCAGCTCAAAAACATTTGAAAAGTCTAAAAGATAATATACTTCAATAAAATAAATAGTTTAAAAAAATATTCAAAAAAATCGGTAAAAATTCTAAAACTGTAATTTTTGAGGTGTCGTAACACTGGTCTAATATCACATAAGAAGGGAGCCTAAAAGTGTATTCTAGAGGAATCTTTCTATATGTAAGCATTTCTGCCTGTGCTGGAGACAGAACTCTGTGACCGAGTTGCTAGGAAATGTAAATCTAGCATCTCTAAATTTTGTAAGGGCTTGAGTTCGATTCCTAAAGAGTCAGATTTTTCAATTTTTAAAAAAGCATACTATCGACATGACAAGGCTTTGAACAAATGTTCGTTAACCTTAAACATCTGCAAGACACTCGGTATCTAAAAATCCAATTTTTAAATTGACGTCATTTCCAAACAACCCCTCTTAGAAAAGAACATAGGAAAAATATTGTTATTTACCGAATAATTGAAGTTTGATTCAGGACAATAAAATTGCCATGCCTAGTCTTATATCCAGTAATAAAATTGAAAAACAAATCCAGATAACAGAAGAAATTGAGAACAATGCCAATGGATATAGACCAAATCTCGTTATTGTGAAGATCTTGATAGAAAGCATAAGTAATTGGAATATGTAGAAAGAGTAAATGCAAAATTATTGACATGATTGAATTCCAATAAAATCTAGACAGTAAAAGTAGCATGAAAGAAAAAAAAAGTCTTGTTAATAAATTGCGTGTCTGCTTTTCACTTTGAATCTCACCTGAAGCGGCTGTATGGGTGTATAATGTACCAATAATTACTGAATATGTGACGTATAATTTCCTTATATACTGCATCACTTGATTGAAAGTGTTTTTTCGTGTTTGGGTTATCATCCCAAATTACAATACGACGAAGAAGAAATGAAACTGGTTTTTTATCACCTGAAACGCGTTTTTGAATCATATCTGGACGAGCTGGTTAATAAATGGGAAAAAATCATTTAGAATTGTTTAGGAGAATGAGAACTTTTGGCGCATTTATTGTCCATCGACTTGCTTTAATTAACTTGTTATGTCCATGAAACAATAGGTTTTCAGACCCCACATACCCATACAAACATACATCGCTGGATTTACAGATCAATTGTGATCCATAGTCTCCCTTAGTTGACGTCTGAAAAAGACTCTGTCGTTGGCTACTCTATGCCAATCGCCAATACCAAATGCTATGCTATCTCTGTCAACAGCTTCTTTCCTACCCGCCCTGCATAGATTCTAAAATATTCTTCCTAGAATCTAGTGTGATCAAACTATTAAGATCTTAATTTGTTTTGTTGTTTTTAAGTCATTTTGCTATTAAATAATATAGAACTTAGTTTATTTCATAGCCTTTTTGGGTCAGTAAACATTTTGATATTCAAAAAATTAGCATTAAGTAGCTTAATTCACAAGACTTTGAGATTTCTCAAATAATGTTTTCCTTCGTCATGTTTGTTTACATTTTGACGAAAAATATTTGAAAAAGAAAACGCGAAATTTTATCAAAACCACATGAAATATTGAATCCATAAATAGTTTAAAACAAAGAATGTGTATCTATTTTATGTTTAAAATAGTAATCTGTAAGAAAACACAAGGATTTTGGCTGAAAATTAACAAAATTTTCTGATTGGCTAAAATTCATAACGGATTAAGTTCTAAAAATAAGGACTACTAAAAAAGTACTAAATCTAATTGTTCTAAAAATAAGATCCGTTTGCCTACCATAAGGTTCTAAGATTGATTCCAAAACTTCATACATTATAAACCCGGAACTAAATATCTCTATTCTCGGATCAAAGTTTGATAATCACTAATCTACATTATCGTCTTTAAATGCTCTTCTGTGAGGCACAAACTTGAAAATTGAATGAGCAGACATGACTGAAAGTCTTCCTTAAATTCGATTAAACGTTAATCTATAAAACCTTCATTCAAGCTGCATAAGCAATTAAAAATCATTCAAATCTGTTGTCATTTGAGAGATTTCAAATTAATTCTGTAAATGCTAGCTTAAAGTCTACCAGACAGACAACAAAGCATCACTTACATCCATCTTTCAATCCAAAAAAGCACATTAATAGCGCCAAAACTCAGCAACAATCAATTAAGATTCATTTCAAGGGCATACATAAAAAAAATTATTTTATTCACCTGGCAAAATGCATTTGTGCTCAATAGTGACATCATCGAATATCAGTTTCCTTTCGCTACTTCCTCCGGATACTTTTTTCATTGTTCTCGTTATACGCGCTTTAAAAAACACTCCTCGAAATGAATTGAATATCAATAAAATAACAACAAATTTGTTGCTCAATGTTGACTATGTTCATCAATAATAATTGAAGTCAATGAATGAGATGATAAATCATCAATTGATTATGATTTAAACTAAGCGGAAGATTTGTAATACTTACATCAGGGGAAAAATTTGTAAAAATCGATGTAAGGTCAAAGTCTCCAAAATGCTCATTTAAATCTCTTTAAGCATGACTAATAGACTTATTGAGCATAATTCGTGTGTACACCGTGTAAAATCATGAATGTAAATTACTTATGGATGATTTCTTTCTTGTGAATTGGACAACAAAAAGGCATGTCTGTATCACTTTCTTCCGATCGATGAGAAAAATTTCTTTTCAATGCCAAAAAATACTTCTTTAATTAAACAAACAAAGCTCAAAAAATGTGTCTTTCTTCTTTTGTTTTATAAATATATTTTTTTGTGTAAAACTAAATTGGATATAACAAAAAATAATATTCGATAGTAAAGCACGACTTTTAAATGTATCTCACCCAGGAAGGAATTATTGATGAAAAGTTGCCTTGAGGGTTTGGTGCTTGTATCGAAAATGTTTAAAGATTTGATCGTGGTGAGAAAATGTTTGATTTTGTTTGAAGTGTTTTATTTGAGAACATGCGGGTTGGTATGGAAATAATTCTTGAATCCATATCTGTAAATAATTTTAAGTACACAATTATTTCATGCTTCTGGAATTCTGAGTGATTTGAGTTGTAGAATAATGGAGTGTATCATTCAGAGTTGTTGTTTGATTAGTTGCGGAACTATGACTCGTGGTGGTCTAGCTTAAATACTCAAATCAGGATATTAGACCAAATAATAAACCATCATTCATACTAGCTTCAAAAGAGTCAATAGGGCTCTACTTGGTTCTATAGAAATAAGAACAAAGAATTGTTCTGTTCAAGTAGTGTCTTTATTAATGGTAAACCTGCTCCATGTGTAACCCACCATGAGCTTATACAGGAATGGGATCAACACCTCCTTCCCCTCCTATTCCTAATTCACTGTCTGAAATTCTGCTTATCTTATTTTATAATCTCAATCCTAGTTCATGATATACCGATCACAGCTTTACCTCTAGATTCATTCAGTTCAAAGAGCAACAACCTCACTAGCCTAAACTTCATCATCCATCGAGCTTGATTTCCAACTGGGCCACCACCCAAAACTCTTTAAGTTTATAAAAAGATGAACAAAATTGGAATTATGAATGAAAGAAGTTGAAGACAAAAACGCAAATAAAAATCATCATAAAGTTCAAATTGGAAATAACAGACGAAAGAAATTATTATTATATTATCGAGCAAAAACGAAGACCAAAAAGAAACTTTTACTTTTCAACAATGACTCCGAAAATTTATTGAACTTCATTTCTTCTTTTTTCAACAATTCATGATCATGGCAATGTTTTAATATTCGACTCTTTATCATTTTTTTAGTATTTCCTCTTCTACTTGCTATAAGCGGTTCATGCTTTATTTTGTAGCATTTATTATTAAACGTGTGACTGCATCTTTTGCATTTAACATTTCTTTTCTCTCCATTGAATGGGGAAGACTTTAAGAAGATTTACATCGACTTGAGAGAATTACTTTATTGATGATTCAATTAAACTGTTAATTAATTAATTAATTTCTTTCAGCAGTGGATTTAAAAAAATATTAAAATTTATTAAGACGACATGAGACTTGAAGTAATAATCTGCTTATGAATGAACTTTATTTAACAATCTGCTTGTTAAATTTGTTGTTTTCATCGAGTTTCATTCATGGTGAGGTATTGCAGAGTTGATGTTGAGTTACTGGGGATTTGGGATTGATTTTTGGATCTTTTAAGGTTCTGAATGGGATTTTCAAAAATTCTAAATTAGCATCTTATTTATTAGGGGCTTGTGGGTAAGTTTCAAGGGTTATCAGAAGGTTTTATCAGCCTATAAATAAGGTTTGATACTGATTAGGCTAAGAAACTTTAGAAACCATCTTTTGAAGTGTCGATTGACATCATACAGCAAGTATAATCTGGAATCTTACTTTAACACCTTAGCAATTTAAAGATTGTCATTAGTTTAGGGATGCAAGCAGTCATAATATTCCACTAGTGATATCTGAGCAGAATAGAATCGAGGAATATGAAGACGAAACTGTCATAGCGAGTGTAGAGCATCAGTAGTAGATCTGATAGACAATAGACCAAAAATCTGAAACCATTTTTTCAGAGGATGTGGGTTCGATTCTCACCAGAGTCTTTTATCTCAATTATTTCATAAAGCATCGTCGAAATGAAAAGGTTTCGGTCTTTGACAATGCTAATGTCATTACACCCCCAAGATACACTCACTCCAAGCCATAGTTGAATAACACTCTCTGATACCAAAAATAGTAAACAGCTCTCATCATCACCTCTCTTCCAATTCTGTTTCTTCTTTCTTATTGATTAATTAATTATAAAATACTCGAAACTCTTAAAGGAATCAGGCACTTTTTTACAGTCAATTTCCGTTGAACCATCCCATAACAAGATGAGAAAATTCCATCCATTTATGCATGCGATGAAGAATTATCGAAATAAGAAAAGTAAGCGAAAGTGAATTGAATTTTATTCCTTAAATTGACTGACTTGATATGAGCAAAAATATTTTTTCATCTCTTCTAAATGGAACTTAATTTTAATGAAGCACGAGCACCAAATAGCAAACAACGATGATGTCAATGATGATGGCTGGGAAACTAGCGATGATGTGAATTGATAAGATGAAATTGAATTTCTTCTTCTTTGCCTGCTTCTTGTTGAAACTGTAACATTTCACTTCACACTTTGTTACCAATCATGTCGTCTTCCATTTATGGCATTTTTGAGATTTAATCATTTATATTACGAACGACGCAACTGTAGATGAGGCACACAGACATAAGCACATTACTGTAAACAAAATTCGATGGCAATATATGGGAAATTTTCATTAAATTTAACAAGCGTGCGGTATGTAACAAAAAAAAAAGTTGCAAAAAAGCCACCAACGGTGACTCGTTGCTTATTTTTGCGTTACTTCTTGGAGATGACAGAAAGTCGAGTCAATTAACCATCAAGACGAGTTCCTGTTCCTTAATTTTCGTGAATATATTTTTATGGAAAGATTTGTAATTAAAAAAATTTGCCAAAAAAATTATCGAAGATGATTGATGGAAGTTTCTTTCCTATTAAAGATGACATAAAGAAATGCTGGTTAATTGAGAAAGACAAAAATTGCATTTTCTCAGGCTTTTTGACTCTTATGTGGCTTTTTTCTTAGAAACAACAGAAATTTCACTTTTTTGAGGTATTTTTATCTCGGCTGTTATCTCATCTTTTTGATTAAGATGCTTACCTTCATATTTTGATGAATATTTATGGTTGACAAAATAAATATCAAGGTATTTAACGGATGAGTATTTTTAGCATGACTTCTCGCAGTTGTTCCTTTATGGCTTTCAAGCATTTCAGATTTTTCAAGGGTACAGGATAAATAGAGTGTTATTGAACTACTTTCATTGACAATTTTAATCCAATTTCCTTTGAAAGACACTTGCAAGTATAAATCCTTTCATTTTCAATAAATAGCAAGTAACAAGTAACTTTCTTAAAGAAAATATCTCAATGATAAGCAGCTATCAAAGCATTCATTAAATTCCATTAAAAGAGAGCTTTTAAGATTAGCTTTAATAATATCGAAAGTTGCATAGTCGATACAAATAAATCCAGTTTCCTTTGAAAGTACTTCAATTATCCTTCACTTGAGTAACAAGCTTATTATAAAATTAATTGCAACCATGTCAAATGCTTTGATCCAACTCCAATTCATAAAAATTTCATCAAAAAAAAAAGAAATAATAAATATAAATAAAGCCATTATCCATATATGGAATCAGCTGCAAGCTGATAAATTAATTGATTTGAAGAAGGAGAATTGTGACAGTTCAGCACTCATTCATTTTCACTTTGGTGCTCTTTTTAATTTCCATCCAATAAATCTCAAGGTTTCATTTAATTTCTCATGCCTTTATTGTCCTTGCCTGATAATTAAATCTCATTACTGACACTGACCAACACAGATTGAAGCGATTTAATTTAGTAACCAAGTTGAGTTATTTTTTTTTCGGAACGGAATTATCGCTCAATCAGCTGAAATTTGATTTTTATGGCTTCAAATTGATTTATTTTATTTTTGCACTTCGTTGAGTCTGATTGGAAAATAAATGGAATCATTATGGGATGTTGAAGAAGAGGAAAGACATGAATCATGTTGATATGAGTGATTTGTTTTTTGGATAGAATAAAATTGAAAGTTATGCCTTTTTTGAGGTTAGAGGAATACATTGACCTTTGTTGGCATCATCTTTTGAAAATATTGACAACAAAATGTGCAGTGGTTTAGCAGAGGAGGAGCATGGCTACTCGGTTAAAGTCCTTACTTTATGTTCAGCTTTGTACAATGTTTAAAAGACGGACTTTAAGTAGGAATCGAACCCGGGACCTCACAATGAATAGATCTTTCGATTTTCGGTTCATTTCTTAATTGTTTGACCACCGGGACCTTCCTTTGACACTAGCAGAGTCGCTTATTTAGAAATAATGCAATTTTGGCTGTTTACTTCTTACCTAATTCAAAACAGCTCCATTTTAGACCCAAATGTGTTGCATGAAGCGACATTTTATTTGTTTGATCTGTCACGAAATTCCACCCCCTTTCCACTAAAACTTTACGTTACAACTGAATAAGCGAACAACTGCGTAGTTTTTCAACGGACAGTCCTGTATTTTTCAAGACTGTCCTGTATAAATTTTTAAATTTTGTTCTTGGTCCTGTATTTTTTTCATGAAAATTTCCGTTAATTTTCGAATTTTACTCTATGTCCTGTTTTTTCGAAAAAATTTACCAAATGTCCTGTATTTTCATGAAAAGTAGATGGTAACCCTACTTTTGCCTTTGTTATCTATATTTTGAGACAACAGACTTAAAACCCTTAAATTTCAATGTGACCTAAACTGTGATTGCTCCTTTTGAAACCTTTCAATAACATAACAATACAAGAGCATGTTTGACATTTACTAAGAATAACAACAGTTGTAAGTTTGTCTAGAAATTGCAAGCACAATAGGAATTTAACATAAGATGATGTCATGCTGAAAGCATTTACCCTGGATGATGAATTAAATTAAATTCTTCAAACAGCATGACTGAAAAAAGTCAACGCAAAAATCCTAGAAACGATGTAAGTATTCCATTGAAAAACAAGACTTTCGTCAAAAATGCTAATTTAATACAGAATAAACTCATCAGATTTTCGTAGCGTCAAGCACAAGGAGATAAATTTCAGTAAATACATTTAATCTTTCATAAGCTCTCTTGAGTCATGATAAAAGTGAGCATTTCAAGGCTCTCGTTTTCATTGGAATCTCTTTTTTCAAAACATTTCGAAAGAATTTTCACGGATAATAAATTAATCTGATTTCGTAGAAATGAAGCTTAAGCAGCTATTTCTTTCGGTAGATTAAAGCTCGTCAGCGTTTCTTTTTACCTTTTTGCTGAACAATTTATGGTAAACAACAAAATTTGACGAGGTTGTCAGTATTGAAATTGGATGGCTATCTAAAGGTGGTTTTACAGAAAGAGCTTGATTTTTTACGTCCTCACAAAGGGTAAGATTAGAACTAGCTTAGCTTTTATTGATTAATGAAACCCATTGTCTTATGACGAAATATGGATGTAATAAAAGTCAAGTGTTGCCATTCCTGACAATTTGGTCCCGCGGACTTCAAAGACACGCTTCTTACGTATTCAACTTAACTGCTACCAATGATTTTTGACAATAGTTTTATCTTACAAAATCTTAACCAAAGAATGTTGAAAAAACAAAAATTCTGAAACAAAATATTAGATGGCTATCCAAACTTTCAATCAACCTTTCGTCTGTAATCAATAATATTGCTGAAAAGCACGCAAAAAAGAAATCATCAATGGAGCAACATAAATATTTATTTATGGTAATAAAAAGTCTGATAAAATTCGTTTCTACAAATAAATTTTCAAATTTTTATTTTTCATAGGCAATAGCAGCATCTATCAATTTTTCTTGATTCATAATTTTTTTTTTCATGATTTTTTTTTAATACAATATAAATATGAATTACAATAGAATTTTTAATTTCCAATAATTTCAATAAAATAATAAAAGTAAAGTAAATGAAATGTAAATGGATGTAAAATGGCCAATCTTTTGTTGTTTTTTTTATACACAGTAACATAATCATATTTATTACATTTTTAATATATATATCTTCTTAAGTAATATAAAGAACTATATAATAATTCTTAATAGTATGTAAGGTATGTAAATATATAATGATTTTTTTTTCTTCTTTTTTTTTATTTTACAGAATAGCGCTATCTAGCAAGGAAGTTGAAATGATTTTTCTTAGAAAACATGACCAAGAAAAGAAAGGAAAATGAATTTAATGAACTTAAAGATGATTAGCTTTTGGAGAATTTTTGATTGAGGAATTTTGAGGTTTCAGATACGAGTTGTTGCTCAAGCTCGATTTATAGTTGATCCTACTTGTTTTAGAACATTTTAGAGGGATTTTTAAAATATGCCTAGTCTTTACAATAGCTCCAGGAACCAGGAATTTAAAAACTTTAAAACTTTAGTTTTAAATACGCTTATAGCATTGCTAAGTTCACAAAGACTAGCTTAGAACTATCTTTAAACAATAACTGGGGTTAAGGATTCGAAAAAACTGTAGTTTGAATATTAAAGATGAAGCTCTGCATAGGATGACCAGATATTTTTTGAAAAAATAGAGGATCTGAAAGTAATATAGAGGACATCCCACGTGTCTACCAATTTTGTTCGTTTTCTGAACAAAACTATTTTATTTTTCAAAAATGAAAAAAAAAGAGGACTGTTCTCTGAAAAATCAAGAAGATGGTCAGCCTAGTTCTGCATCGCTTGAAGTTCTCTTTTGAAATTTCAAAATCGATTCTCACAAATCTGCTTAATTCACCCAAAATACTCCTCAAGCAACAAATTCTTCAAAAGCGTCTAATAATTAACAAATAAAACCAAATCTCTTTTCACATTAACACTCAAAAAAATCAATTGACTTGCGAAGGGAAGATAAAAATTTTTGCCAACAAAAAAGTAGCTACGATGAATATTTAACTTATCAAAAATTAGCACGCGTGATCACAAACTTGTTTTAAAGAGTTTCTTAGCTCAACTTGAAATTTTTTCCAATAAATATTTTTTTTTGTTATCTTCCCTTGTGATTTAACTGGATATCTAATTTTATATTTTATTCTTAGTCCAAAGTTAAAATAGTAAATTTTTGCTATTTTTATTAAACTTCAAAAAGTTATATTTTGTTGTCTGTGTTGCTCTGAATAACTTATAAGTGAATTATAGTCCCAAATGTGGAACCACAAGTCACTCATAGCCACTCAGTGCAATAATCTTCAAGGTACTTTTCATCAATACATAAAATTTTTCTCTCAATATTTTAAGCTAAAATTTCTAAAAAGATGACAAATCTCCGTCTCTATCCATATATAGAATCTTTTCAATTTTAGCTAGCTATTCTACAGATGTGAAGTGTAGAAAATAAAAAAAACAAATCGATGACATTCAAAAACGAAAGAAAAAGAAAATCATATTCACACAAAATTTTCAATTTTTCTTTTCATTTCTTTAGAAAAAAAAGTTCTATTTTTGTACAAAAAGTTACAAAAGGTTCGTTTTGATTTCATTTGACAGTGCCAGCAGTTTTTGTGTGATAGAAAAATTTTATATTTTAGTTCAGGGGATGGAAACAGTAGGAAATGAATTTATTTCTATGAAGTGTATAAAGCAGACTTGTAGGTAGTGGGAGGTGTGTGTTTGAGTGGATGATAAGAGGTAATCTAGGTTTCTAGGTCTACTTGGGGCACCTCCTCTAGTTAAAGTTGTATTTGTCTTACATAGTTAAGAACTTTGATTATTCAATTCTAGGTTTAAAGTTGTCCCGATAGCCCTTAAAAAGAATCTCTGATTTAAGTCTTTAGACTTTATTCCAAATCTTTTGTGCAATAACCAGATTTTTTGTGTTGGTTCTTAAATTTAGAAGTAAAAATTGAGATTTCGAGGGCAAACTTTGATTTTTGATGTACACTTTTGAATATTGAGGTTGACAATCGAATTTGTAGGTTCACGCTGAGTTTTAAAGCTCAATTCTAGGTTTAGAAAGCCTATTCATATAAATTTTGAAGTCAGTTTCTAAATTCTGAAGACTTAACTCAACAGATACCCACCACACCTCCTTAAACACACACCCTAGGTAGTGATGAATTAAGTAGTAGGCAGGAATGAATTTTATTTATTTCATAAAGTAGATCTGCTTATAAATGGACGGTAACATTATTTTCATTTAAATAAACATCGGAAATACTGGAATTACTGTTTGATTTGTGGGATGATTTATCAAGTGAAGATGAGTTCTCATCTTTCTTAACAATAACATTACTCATATTATTACTATTATTGTTTATCGTCTTAATCTTATTTGAGGACAAATGTGCAGATGATTCTTTACTGTTACTGATGCTTGTATTCTTACCATAGCTTGTTGAATTTGCAGATGATGATGATGAGGATGATGTCGTTGAGACAGATGCACCAGATGATGCTGATACAGACGTTAATACGCTATTTGATTTCTTAAGTGAAATTCCAGTTAGTGACGATGATGGCCATAGTGGATTTTCAAGGCATTCTTCAGGGCTTAGCGATGAGAAATCAGCAAGAATTCCACTCTCTGTTGAATAAATATGTGACATATGAAATATCATGCAATTGCAGTTACTTGAAAAGGTTAATTCCAAATGACAGTTAATTACCTGTTGAGCACTGACTCACAACCGTTGTTGAACGTGAATATTTAAATTTACATGGCACATTTTTATCCTGCTTTAAATTCTTTTTATCTTTCTGTGAATCTCGGAAGTGACTTTGAGGTCGTTCTGATTCGTCGCTATTTTGATTTAATTTGGTGCATGCTGATGATACTGATGAGCCAGCCGATGAGGCTGATGAGCTTAGTGAGATAATTGAGTTTGGACGACGGGCTGATGATTTTGTGTCGGGTAGAGAGCCCACAAATGAATTACGGAATTTTGGTGCTGTGAGATAGAAAATTTGAGAATTTTGTGGACGATAAAGTTTAAATTTATTGACTTACCTTTTCCAAGTTGTGAGAAGCTGATTGATCTGTCATTAATTTGATCACAACTCGGCCTGATATCAAGACAAGGTTTGCTTCCAATTCCCATTGAAGACATTTCAGCCATTCTGACTTCTAAATTATTTTTTGAATGAAATTTAAAAATAGCTTTAAAATTTATTCTAGCGGATATGAAAATTAAAATGCATAACTCCGCCAAATAATTAATGTCATCCGTACCTCTGTTCCTTTTGGCCTGTTGCCAAAGCAATTTAGAAACTTCCTCAGTCCATGCATTCTTAATTTCTTCATTCATACTCTGCAAAGTCCACGTATCACCAGGCTTACGTTTTCTAAACCAAATCTCAAATTTCGTTGGCGAATTTCCAATATTTGCCGTCAATCCAATATCGGATGTCTTTATGCTGTTCTTATAAATGTAAATGTCTAGATTCTGTATTAAAGATGAAAATAATTTAATTTTTTATGACACTTGACAAGCTACAAATTGCTACTGTACCTTACGATCCGGAAACCGACGAGCCTTACTAAACAGCACAAGTTCTTCGAACAAAAACACTTGTCGTAGTGATTTCTTCCCACCTCTACCTTCCCATACAAGAAACTCACTTTGTCTTAATAATCGACCTTGTTCCTTCACATTCACATCACAATCTCTTAATGAGTCCATTGCCAATAGGTCATTACCATGTCTCAATTGAAAACGAACCATTTCTTCAGCCTTTTGTAGTTCATCATAGTCCTCGATAAGTTCCTGATTGCCCGAAGACTGTACACTCGAACATGCCTTCATAAGTTGCTGTAATAACAATGCATACTTTCCCATACGTTGAACCGGTTTGAGAAGATATGATGCCAAATCCATTTTATCATTCAACTCAATCTGTTTTGACTTGAAAAATGCTGAGCCATATTCACTCATGAGTGAATCACTTTTTGGTTTATTTTTATTGTACAAAGCGTATAAGTAGAATTTTGGTTCGTGACGTAGAAAAGCTGCACCGACTTTCAACGGATGATGCTCATAACTGTATAAATTGAATGAGAATATGCAATTTGGGGTCAATAATATTGATTTGGTTAATCATTATGAGATCATTAAACTGTAAAGCTTTATTTTTGAGTCTTAGACTGGATGCACCTTAACATTGTGGCAAGGTTAAGGCTAAATCTAAGTTCCAGTTTAAAGCTAGGAATCATCATAAGGCAGGAGTATGGTAGGAACGAGTATCTAAGCTTGTATCAATTGATTATCTAAAGAAGAAATCAGTTGATTTTCCCATTATGCTATTTCCCCCTTAACCCTTAAACATCCTCAACTTACGTTTCTAATTCCTTGCAAAAGTGTTGCTGATGAAACTCATGAATCTTCTCGATATTTCCAAAAATTACATTTCGTTGACCACGTAGAGCTTGTGGAATATCTTCACGTAGCAATTCCTGCATATAATTGTCGATAACATAATACAATGATCTGGCGTAGTCGCGTTCAGTTGTAATCATCTCTCGCATGATTAAAAGAAGCGTCCTGTAGTGAACATAAAAAATTATAAATTTAGTCATGATCAATAAAAATAGTGATTGATGTATGGAAACATACTTTTGTGTTTTTTGATCAATAACAGAATCATCTAGATCCAATTGTAAGTTTGATGCATGACAATAGAGGTGTGCATTGGCTTGTAGTGGAACTTGTGCTATATGATTAATACTTTCACTTTTACTCGTCGGCTCATCCATGCTTATGCTTGTTATGTTTTCACTTGTATCATAATCATCTAAGTCGTCTTGCTCATGCTGACTTATGTTATCACATGCATTCATTGTTGCATCATCGACAATGCTCTCACATGAACATGCCCTTAAAAGCTTCTCCTCTTCCTTCATTTCACTAACATATGATTCATCGTACATTGTTGTACCAATACCAGAATCACCTAATGTCGTCTTCGATGCAACGGTTGTTGTTGTCAAATCATCATCAATATCATCAATGTCTTCTTCTTGACATGCTTTGGCTATTGTTACTGTCTGACTGCTGTTTACATTATCAAGCTTCTTTTCTGGCGACTCTTCAATCGCAGGTAGCAATGATGTAGGCATCGATGTCGCAATCAAACTGTGCGAATCAACTGACTGCTGCTGTTGCTGCTGTTGATGATGATTGCTGTCACATAAAGTTTCTTTTTTTGGTGTACTAGTGGTAATTGTCGTTGTGGTAATTGTCATCTTTCCAGTAACTTTCTTTAAAGATGACGTTAATGATGTTGTTGATGTCGATTTCATATGACTTTGCATTAAGCCTGAGAGTCCAATTTTTTCGGCAAGCTTTTGCATTTCCATTTGTACATCGGCCTCATTCAATTTCAATGCCAATAAATGATGAAGGCGTGCAGCGCCTTCGACTTTTTCTCGTAAATTTTCTAAACGTCCGCTATAATCTTTTAGGATTGAGTTTAAATTTACACCGTAAAGTTTCAAGGATTCCAGATCATTTGTCGCCTCAATCAAGTCTTTACCCTTTGCAATATGTTTCTGTAGAATTCATCGTAAAATAATTGTTTTTTTTTTGGTACACAGCAATAAAGAAAACAGATGGGAAGAGAAGAGAAGAACAAAAGAGAAGAAAAAGAATCGTTTCCGTTAGGGACAATTGGGGGAATATTTACAAGAGCACAAACCGTAATTATAAATTACCAAAATAATAAAAAAAAAATGTTAATTGCGTAAATCTTTTTACGACTCACCATAGATATGAAATAATATTTCTCAAACTCCTGCTCTTCATCACGGATCGTGTTCCCGCACTCCAATGAAAGCGAACTGTACTTTGTAAGCGAATTCTCTCCCTCGGTTTTGATCCATTCAATGACCTTTTCATAGCAAATAAAATAAAATAAAAAAACGAATTGAAAGATTGAAAAGGAATAAGAAGTGAAATGAAAAAAGAAGAAGTTTTCGACGTGCTTAACGAAAAGAAAGGTTCAATATTGCGCACAAAATCTCCATTGAGGCATACAACAAGCAATCACTTTAAATATAAAAAAGATTCGATGACACGTTCCAAGTGAGATCTATTGAACATTTTGAACAGCACTCAATAGTTTCTCGTTCTTCCTTCTTCTATTTGTTTTTGTTCAAAACTTATTTACACATTACATGTTACTTCCGCACTCTTAAACAAGGGGATGGCGGAAGAAACTCAATTCTTTGAGGTTGTAAAGATAGAAAATTTAATTACTGACAAGGACGGAATTGAATTTTTGTGCCATTTTTGAGAAGACATACAAATTAAATAAATTACAAAGACCTAGAAAGAAGCTCTACCGTAAAAATTCCTTAAAGTCGCTCATTCGAGCATCAACAAAGAAGTGCTGGAGGCATCAAATTGTGTTTTAATTTAGAAAAAGGTGGAAGCATGGAAGTTTACGACTAGACAAACTCAAAATTTCATGACTAGTAAATGCCTTTCATTGTCATTCACCATCAAGTGTGCACTTTTTGATTTGTAATGACTTCTTCTGGTTTTTATTGAACTGTAGAAAAAGTCAATGTTACAAAACAAACAGCTTAGAAGCAGAGTTGGTGTAATGAGTTGTTGAACTGATCAGAACTTCCTGGTAGAATTTAGGAGCAAATTATACTCCCGACTAGCACAAGTCCGCTAAAAGAATAGAACTCTGGCACCAGCCCTAGGTGTGATTATGGCATGGTGCTGGCTTTGATTTGAAACCACCGGCTATGTGGCAGATTTCTGATCGATAAACCGGGTACTCAATTTGGTACCTTATCTAGTTCTAGTGGAACTAAAAACCTGGTTTCTAGGTCTACAAGGAGTTTCCTAGCCTTACAGGTCTATGCATAGATACAATTTGACTGTCAGTTACAGTAAGCTACATCGAAAAACTAAACAATCTACATTCAACAACTCTGCCCATCGATGTGAGCGAGAAATAAAAATTAGAGGTAAAAATAGTCAACAAAAAGCCATTGTTGTTACATTCTCACCTCATTGATTTCATCTTCTAATGCACGTTGTCTTGTAAGTTCGCGTAATCGTTCGCGATGTTGTTCAGTTAATTGCTCTAATCGTTTCGCTGCACGATCGACTTCATTAAAGACAGTTATCAATCCATTTAATCTCTGTTCAACAAAGTTTATATTCGTCGTTGATTGTTTTAGTTGCTGATCAATATTACAATTATTATTTATAACATTTCCGTTACCAATGGGCTCACTTTTGTTTCTCTTATGATAGAAATTTAGACTATTACTATTACTATGTATATTATTATGATTAGTATGACTGACAGCGGTGGATGAATCAATATAACTACTATAACGTTTATCGTTCACTATAAAATTTTTGGTTTTAATTGTTAATGCATAACATGGTACATATCGCTTCCTTATGCGCTTTATATGCTCTTGCAATTGATTTAATGTTATCGGTCCTTTACGTCGTAGCATTTGTAAATCACTATCCATAAGTGCACGACATAAGGCTCGATGTTGTGAGTGTAGTTGACGTCGCGTTGGTGGTGGACCTTGAAGATCAGCATTTCGAATATCATTGAGTACGGAAACTAAACGACGTCCTGCTATCAAGCACTGACTTTGCAATGGTTCTATTGTCTTAAAGAATCCAATCCATTCAAATTGATCGTGCTCCAACGGTCCATTGCATATTGACAATAAATTATCTAATGTTATATGCTCCAGCAGCTGCTCGTGTGACGATGCATATGCTAACTTTATATGACTAATTGGTAATTGTTCATTGTAACTTCTCTTATTTTCACCATCACTTACTCCACCACCGTCAACGCAATTCTCGTCGTCTTCATTGCAACTATTCAACGATGTCACAGTAATAAGTATTGAATTTATTTTAACGTGACCGTGCAATAGCTGCATACTGTTATCCAATTTATCTAAGACGACTTTTACGTGACCATTATTATCGCTTTTTGCAATTAAATGGATAACAAATGCCGTTGAACTATATTATTCATTATTATTATTATTTTGTTTGTTTTGTAGCATTGCGAAATTGCGGAGAGAAGCACAAGAAAGAAAAGAAGCAGAATATTGTTAGTAACAGTTGTGAGAATATTTCTAACCTCAACTTACTTCATCGGTATTGTATTGTAGAAAAGTATAAGTGTTGCAATCTCGTAACAATTCAAGCCAGCTTGATGAACTTTATCACTTTCGATTACAATCAATGGGGAGCCAGTTCTGGTGTAATTGCCTGAATAAAGAAGCGAGAAAAAAAAATTTATTTTATCGATGACTTACTACGAATCATGACCTCAATCCATCAATCCATTAAATATTTGCACAGCAAATAATGATTATCGGTTTTCGGTCACTCAAATCTGTGTATTATTTATCAGTCAAATATTTACCTGGTAAGTAGCAGCCTGACATGAGCAATTTCTCCGATAAATCGTGTATTGACCTTGGGGCTACGATATCATCATCATAAGCCAAACGTGACACTGAAATTGAGAGACAAGAAAAAAGAAGGAAGGAAATGAAAAAGTGTCAAAAAGCAAGCAGTCAATAAACAGAATGTTTGAATATAAAATGATATTAAGGATCAAGATGCGGATGTCAAACAAATGAAAATAAGATGAAAAGAGTTTGAAAGTTTGGAAGATAAAGAAGACAACAATATGACGATGATTATAGGCAGGGTCGTTTATTTCCTTAGGGTGAGAATTTATGCTGTTCTAATTTTTGATTGCATTTTCATGTTGATCTACTTCCATTTTTAGAAGAGAAAATTTTCAAAATCATGGCGAATGCATTACAAGCCACCCATAGATTCACGATGTAAATCTCTTCTCAAAAATTAAAGTATAATATTTCCTTATCAATCATAAGACTCGAAATAAATTCTAAAGATACCACAAATCTGCTCAAATTCACAAGGCTTCAGGGCAATTTCCACAACATTTTCAACGCTAAAGTTTTAATGTGCTTTTCTTATCATATAATTTTCATAATTTTATGGTCATTTACAAGTGATGTGAATCACACTTTTTTAAAAATTTTCGGGTGGGTTGGGATATTTTTCTTCCTAAATTGTAAAAATCAGAGTTGCTATACAGCTCGCCTGTCACAGGTACAGGTGAGATCTATCACAGATATTGTCTGTCAATAGGCAGTACCTGTTGCAGGTAATTTTTTTTTGTCTGTCAAAGACACAGATCTGTTATACTTGTGGACATAGATATGACTGATCTATGACTGTGACTGGCAAAAAATGCCACCTGCCACAGATAGTGCCTGTTGATAGTAAAGAAACAGGTAATTTTCTGTGACAGATCGCAATTCTGGTAGAAATTTTTGATTGTTTCGGCATCAAGAAGCTAGTATCAAGGTCAAATGCAGTCCGAGTGAGAAAAAGGCTTAATGTTGGAGTTGGAGATGGCACTTGGCTGAATTTTGGCATGGCTGCCTTATGATTCTTGGCAACACCAAGCAACAGTAGTAAAATCAGCAACAGCAGGCGAAAGTTCCACCTAGCTTACTCTTTTACAACACAATTTGAGTTTAACTTCCATTAAAAGCTGATTTTACAATCACTACGTAAAAAAAGATGATATGATAAGAGTTTTGGCAATGTTCATGGCTTTATGGCCTTTTCTAAAACCTAACAACCTTAACTGAACATTAGACATCATTTTCGAATGACTTTTTATTTATTTCAAGACACAAAACACCAAACAAGGATGAATGAATCGCTAGCTTATTTGATAAAGCAGTAAAAACGAAAGTTTCTCGTTGAATAAGAAAAAGTTCTTCCTTTTCTCTTCTTGTTCTTCCTATTCTCTTCTTGTTCTTCCTGTCTGTTTTTTTATTCAATAATGAAAATCTCTAAAACTCAATTTTCGCTCATTCGAGAATGAATTGAATTTTATTTTTTCTCAACACGTAATGGAAGGAAACTTCAACAAAGACTGTAAAGGCTGGAAATGAAAACTTTTAGTGTTCCGTTTCCTTTTGAAAATGCTGGTGAGTTGGAATTAAGAAAATTGTTATCTTATGAAAAATTTAAAGATGAAAAGGTTGACATTGGCACATGAGCAGCATAGAAGATTTCAGGACAACATTTATGAAATTTTCATCAATAGTCCTAAATTTGATGGATTAATCATAATTTATGTAGATAAGGAGGCATCTTATTTTAGACATTATTTTAAATTTGCATCCTTTTTTCCAAAGATCTTTCCTTAATTCATCAGAAAGGTATGCCTTTCATCCCACACAATGAAAACATTGATTTAGCAAGTAAAGTTCAGCTTAGAAATAAGAATAATAATAAAACAGAATGATATGATTTCTTTCGGAATAAGTTACTAAGCTAATGTTATCTCAACATGCTTGATCTATTTAAGAATTCGTTTCTAAGATAAGCAAAAAATTCATGAAAGTTCATTTTTTTTCGTTGGAAAATGTCGAATTCTGAAAGCTTTTGCGATGTTTTATTTTGAGAAAATATATGGAATCATATTAGGAAGTCAGTGTTGCTAGCTGGTTTGTAGATTTGAATTATTCTTTTGATTTACGATCAAAACTGACAATACTTTAAGGTTATGTACATGTACCAACACAAATCAATCTAAGTCCTAGCTGGAAAACTGAAACTAGACATTTAATCTATAGATTAAGTTGGGAATTCTAAATATATTCGGGTACCTATGATTAGGTAGGTAGGAGCGAAGCCAGGATTTTTCAAGGGGGGCCCCTGGCTACGCCCTTGAGGGGAGGTTACGCACTCTATGGTTAGCATTCTTACACAGTGTAAGTTTTTGAAGGTTAAGGAGACTAAGATCCTCAATTGGCTCAAGAATCTAGTGATTTTAGCACAAGTGTTGTGAAAAATGTACTAGACATGACAGTAACTATACTTGCTGATATACCTTTATGTAATTAAATTATTCATATAAACCATTTAAGTATTGTCCTTAGCAGGTTGTATAAAATGTAAAGAAATAAGCAATTTGGATTATATTAATCCTTTCTATTTCAGAATCAAATTTTCACAAAAAAAAAACAAACTGTTGAAAAATCTATCCAACCCAAATCAACTAAGATTTGTACCTTTTATTGACTCAACACTGTCAGCATTAATGGATATCAAGCTATATTACCATAAATAATAAATTCAGAACAAACGAGCTCCAGACAGTTTCTGCCAACAGCAATAAATGAGAATAGAATAAATTCAAAAAGTTAAATGCCTTTTCCAAGTGATTAAGTCCAGACGGATTTAAAGGATGCAAAAGTTATTTTAGACAAAAAAGAATCAACTTTCAGTCACGAATTTTTAAAAGAAGATAACGAAGTGAAACCTTGAATATTTAGAAGACATCCAATCTCCATCAAATTTTATGAACTTAACTTCCCTAAATGGAATAAAAACGTGAATTGATATTGAATTATGAGCAGATAATCCACTTAGTCCGCAAGGTTTTTTGATATCTTGTTGCGAATATAATGAAGATCTAGCTTTCCAATAAATTATTTGTATAAGGAAATTGACTATGCATAAAATACTTTTTTTTTTTGTCTGTCAAATATTTTCAAATCTGATTATTTGATTAAGGACATGAATGTCGGTGGATTGTCAAAAAAAATATACATAACAAATGCTTTTAGTTGACGAAAAAGTTTCTAATCGATAGACATTATTTCGCCAATTATTGTCACTCCTCCGAATATCACGAATTTGAATATAAAGTAGAAAGTAAAGATCCGCGATTAAAACTTAAGATTAAATTTCAAGCATAGATTTAAATCTAAATGAATACAAATGTAATTAAAATTATACATTTTGCGAAAGTTTTTCTTCTTAAACTCGCTTCAATCAAATCAATTTTTTATCATCTCAAAACTTTCAAATCCACATTCAACACTAGATTTTGTGTCGCAGATCTTGTCGTCTATATTGCTCATTTGAATAATAATATTATATTTATTTTTTTATCAGGTGATAGCAGAGATTAATGCATCACAAAGCGGAGTGTCACCTTAAGCAATAATTAATGTTAAAAAATTAAAAATAAATAAAGGAAATTGAAGGAATTGGAGCAATCGAGTCAGATCGTCATGCTTACACCGTCAATTATCATCAATTTGTAACTGATAACATGCAGTCATGGAAGCTATACACGATGTAAGTGAAAAATAAACAACATATTTTTGCCTGCTTGCGGGACGTTTGCTTGTGATGTCCAACAGCTTAGGGTATGGACTAGCAGCTATATAGCACTTGCTGAGGATATTCATGAGATAAACCCGAATGGCACAAGGCGGTTAATGAATCAGAAATCTTGCACCAAGCAGGTGTGACTCTGGCATGGTGCTGGATTTAAATAGAAGCCCTTTTTGTTCTATTCGATTGACCGACTCGTTCTATGGAGGGAATATACCTTTTAAATTATTCTTGACCCCAAAATTCCCTCTCAAATCTAGCTTGAGCTTCATTATAGCCTAGAAATGTCAATATCTCTCCAGACATCATTTAAAAACGACCCCTCAGCTCACTAGCTCTGCTTTTTAAAAAAATGACTTTTGTAGAGCATGCAAACATCAAGTAGTTTGTGTAAAAGAAGAGGAAAAATGGTTGATTAATTAATTTCGATTTGACATTAAACACCAGTTACATGATAGTCGCACTGCATGTCTCTACAATTCATTTATTCATTCTTAAATCTCTCACTTCCACCGTATGCTGCTCATAGTACTACTATAATAACAATAATAATATGTATGTTTCAAGATTATATTGTAAACTAAAAGAAGGCGAAAGCATAGAGCAACAGAGAATAATAAAAAAATATATTTTGCAGTGAAGCGGCTGAAAACAAAATCGAAGGTAGCAACTGGATAAAAAAAATAAAGTACCAAGCAATAATATTAATAATATTATACTTTATGAATTATAATGGATGTGGATAGATATATAATATACTATAAAGTAAAATATTGTGTACATAAGTAAGTAGTAAGATAAGCTTGAATATGAATAGAGAAAATAATAAAAACATGTGTTTCGAATTGCAATTGTAAGTAGAGTCATACGAGATTTATTGATTGTTGTAGAAATTTATGTTAAACATCATCTTGCAATAGAAATGTGAAAAATTAATATGAAAAGATTTAAACAATGAAAAATTAATGTATATTTTTTTGAGAGAATCTACAATTTGTTGGCTATGGATTATCGGATGTTTATGGAATAGAATGTAAATAATATTCTTTATTATTGGTTTGCATTCTTTCACGGATGTGGGGATTGTTTTTTTGCATACTTTTGAAGTTTTGGTGCTTAAATGATTTGCATAAAAATTTCAAAATTGTTCACATTTGTCAGTTGATAGCTAAGCCCGAGCGGAACGAATCATTGTCATATCAACAAAACTTTATAAAGTGATTAAGACATCGGACTCTGGTGGGAATCGAACATAAGTTCTCACAAAAGAAGCAAGCATATATCCAAACCATATGCGCAACAGAGACCTAACTCTCGCACTGGCAGATTCGCCTGTATAAAGCTAGATACCCTAGATTCCACTATACTCCGACACGACAGAGACTAAGTTAATTCTAAAAACCAAGGGATCCAAGAAAAACATTAAAGCTGTTGCTATGAATATTCTTAAACTATATAGTGACCAGACATTTAGAGTTTTAACAGTGTCAAGATTGAAGTAGCTTAATACTTTCATATAAAATCTATACTTAGTTTCATACCCCTAGCTAAACGTCACTCATATGAAATATTCAAATTATTCCTCAAAAAACCTCATATAAAGTCCCATCTCATCTTGAAAACAAAATTTGTTCATTGTTATTCTAAACAACAAGACCTTCTAGATTCAAAATTCTTAGTCAATGCATTTTTCATGTCCTTTATTGAATACAAAATTATTTTTTTTAATTCAATAAAAATGCCCAAAAGCCTCTCATTAAGTATTCATGAATTTCTATATCCATAATAAAGTCATTATCTTAAGTTAATTTATCGATATTATCCGTGATTGGGTTCTTTAATGAAATTTTCCGAGAGCAGCACCTTAAGTATCTTATACTGAAGAATTTTGCCAATCACCATTCGTGATGCAGATCTTAATGCCTTGATTCCATTCATAAATCTGATGAGGGTTATAATGTTGCGAGTAAAAAAAAAATCTCATCAATGTAAGCATCCTCTACAAAGATTAATTGAAGATTCCAAGCTTAAATTCAATTAAAGTTCGCACTTGCTGATATTGCCGTTCATGATGACTGTGCAGAAAGCACAGCGTGTCGAAACCAAAAACCGCAAATGGCAATTAAGTCTTCAGTATCGATTACAAAACTTATATTTATCATAACTTCTTGTCAACATACAGCACAATGATGATATATTGATAAGCTTAAAGTAACCAGCTACTGCACACCGACTTATTTATATTAATCAAAGGAATTTGCTTCTCTCCTCGCAAATTGATGAATGTGGCAGCTCATATAAGCTGAATTATTATTTGCAACCTGTATTAAATTCCACTCATTGTTGTTTATCACGATAAAATAAAATAGCCAACAAATGACCATAGCTAAATAAGCATGACAAAATACTTGAATCATTCAATTTGTCTCTTAACTAAATGGCTTAAAAATATCATTTTTTATTGCCATGGGATGGTGACTGGTCTACAAGACTTTGTGCTGCATGTTCAACATTGACAACAATAAATTAAAATTATGGCAATTGTAAAGTCAATATTTTATGACTACTGCCAAGCGAATGTCAGAAGTTTGACACAGTTTATGCTGATAACGAACCTAAAGTCTATCGATGGGTGATAGCTATTCGATTTAAATAATCGATATCGTTAGCATAAAAATGTTAACAATCACTGAACGTTATGAAAAATTATTTTTTTTTCATGTGGGCAGACAGCTGTTTGGGGAAGCTGGAAGATTATTCAATAATAATTTATGAAAAAAAAAAACAACAGAGACACATAATATACGACTTACAACTTACAATGCTCATAATTTTTTTTTCTTCATTTTTTTTTCGTTGACTCATTACAATAAAAGAAATATAAAATAAACACATGTGAGAGAAGTTTTTTGAAATGTCGTAATGTCGTTGCTGCTATGTTCAAAATTGAAATAATTTCCTATAACAATATATTGAATTGTTACCTACTCTTATGCAATTTCCAATTTTTCATGTTCAATTATTTATTTTCTCATTTTATTTTTCAGGGTCAAAAAAATTCATTTGCATTAATGCTTATAAAAGTGTAGGTGCAATGAGCATTTCGATCAATCTACGAACAATTGAAATTACTTGTGTCTAATGTGCTTGCGGTATTGGGGGTTCTGGGTATGGTGTTTGACTTTATGACTTTGGTTTTGATTGATATTTAACATTATGTGGTCTTTCTAAAAATGTCTTAATGGGGTTTATGGCAAGTTTTGGTTTATATGCAGAGATAAATCATTATGGTTCAAGGCTTTCTTAAATTTTAGTTCTTGAGTTCAAGTCCTAATACTGTGTCTAGGGGAGGTTAATTCAGAGAGCGGTAAAAACCGGTTCCTTACTTATAAATTGTGTTCAAATCTTAAATGTCATCGAAATTGAAGTTGAAAATTCAGAGGAGCCTAATAAACTCTTGAAAAATCTAAAACTTCTGAACCAATGCTCCCAGAAAAACGCAGTTTTACTCAACCAATTTCATTAAGATTTAACAAAATTGAATATCTTTTGTAGGCTTAATTGTATTATTTCTAGTCATAATAATTAAGTTTCCACAAAGTCATCCAATAAATTCCAGAAAAATAGACAAGAAATAATCCAAATGATAAAGAATAAATTGCTGGAAATAATTCTCAGCAATTGCTTAGTCGAATCCCTTAACTTAATCACAAAGAATTAGAGCAGAAGAATTAAATGATAGAAAAGAATTCGCAATTCCAACATCACAAGCATTTCCATCTCAATTCCTCCAAGTAAGCTGCAATAATAACAAAAATTCTCGATCCAAAATAATCCCTAACACGAAGCATATGTAGATACAGTGTGACTCATTCAAATTCAACCGGGACCCGACCGGAATGATGTGAGAAAAAAAAGAGACGATAATGAGTAGCAAATGCAATGCAATTGAGAAATTTTATGACTTCAACATTATGATTTATTGATTGTCATGCATTTTAACTATCTTCGATGTAGTCAATTATATTGTACGAATTCAACGTTACTTCTGTTTATGGAATGAGGCAACTCTAGCGCATGCAAAAGGGTTTTAATGGATTTTGAAAATGTTTATCTTCGGATTGCTCAACAATAATAAATTTAGGATACGCAAAGAGCTACGAGGTCTAAAGTTCGATTCACAGCATAACTCATTCTTCCATTCAATATGTTTCAGCAATAAAATCAATGCTTCTTATGTATGTATGTACGTCCAAGCCTATAATTAACCATCAGTCGGTTGCATATCTTTTCGCTCACTTCTGCTGTGCGATCGATAATAATAATTTCCGAAAGTGGAAATCCGAGTGGGCTGATAAACGTGCAACATTTCACATGACCCAAATTAATGTAAATAATTGGTTCTTCACCTGTTGGCAATAAATTTTACTTCTCCTTCTTATCTTACATTGCTAATCTTGAATTAATTGCAAAACTCTCTCACACATGCTTAGCTTGAATGAATTTACACGCGTATACTGTGTAATAAATACTTTAAAGTACAAAATCATTTGTAAAGTAGGAGGATAAAATACATGAAAATGACCTAGTCATGAATAACTTCAGGATATATTGCGAACTTTTTTTTATATTTTGTTACAAAAAAAATTATATTTACGAGAAAGAAAAGTAATTGACTTTCACTCAATTGAGTCTTTTTACTTTTCATAAAAAAAAAATCAGAAATTGCATTATGTGACAGGCAAGCAGGCATAAAAAGGGAGAGAGAGAATCAAGTATTTTGCAATCGATGGAAGAAAAAAAAGTTCAAAAGAAATTGAGCGGAAAAAATTCATAAAATCATTTTCTAATAATGATGTGGAAATAAATGCTTGTGTATAAAGGGTCAAAGTTAAGTATCACATTAATCAAGCAGCACTTAAATAAACATCCAATATGAAAATGTTAAAGCAACAAAAAGCTCGCTTATTTGTTGTTGTTTCGCTCATTTAATGACTGAAGATTATTTTTCAATAATACTAGAATCGCTGAGGGGGCTTAAATAAGTGCCATTATTATGGAATGTAGATTAAAGTTCCAAAAATTAAATAAACATCCTTGAACACATATCATTAATTTTCTGAAGGATTTAGACATGATCTTTATGAAGAACAACATAATTTGTAAGATTATGCAAGATTAGATGCAGATCCATGGCTTTAGACTATGCTCAAGGCAGCAATTCATGAATAGCACCCCAATGACCCCAAATATCAATTCAGGAACTATTACTCACCACTCTGATTTTTCTTTGCATCATCGCCACTTTCCTCATCACTGTCAATATGCGGAAAAGAGCCACCAAGACAAAATAATGGTAATGTCGATGTAATTGCACCCGACGATGTCAATGAAAGATCGCTGTTACCATTTAAAACATCATCATTTGTATTGCTGCTGCTGACATCGACAGACTCTTTATTGTTATTATTGCATACATCTAGTGCCGTTTCACTTTCATTATCATACGGGCTGCTTCCATTGCACGTTATTCTCTTCACCGCTGCATACTTTTTATTTATGGAATTATTCTTTGTAATCAATTCTCGTCGCTTTAAATTACATTCCAGTCGCTGTTTAACATTTTCAATTAAATAATTTGCTGTGCTGTTATCATTTTGCTGACCATTGACGTCATTGGAATGCTGTAATTTTGTGTTAAATTGTGGAAATGTTAATTCATCAAGTGGAATACGACAAATGGCATGTTCCACTCCCACAAGTAACGTTTGAAGTAAATGTGGCAACTCCTCACCGGCTAACATCTCAATATGTAGTGGTGTAATAGGATCTTTATCGGGATCCAATTGTCGATAAGTAATTCCGGTTGTTTCATTTGCACGCCAACATACGTACAGTGATGGTGAGACATTTGAAGTCGCCGATCGGATGCATAAGTAAAAGTCCTGTTGTCGAACCAATGACTCATCAATTGTACCCAAATGTAGCGATAGGGCTCCGTTTGAGAGGCTCAAAGGCCAACCTTTTTGCCACAGCTGTTGATTCTGTAATTGAGATAAAAGAAAAGTCAATCATTAATTAATGTGAACTGAATTTTATGTTGCACGAGTAATGTCATTATTTGCTTAGGTTGTGAATTAGTCTCTGAGAGGTCTTTAGCATTAGCAGCCATAATAGTCCATAATAGGTTTTGAATTTACGCAAATTGCAGCGAAACAAATTATTAGTCACGATCCGTAATTCACAAGAAAAGAGCTACTGTTCATGCTTACATATTATGCTACTTATGATGTGAGAATGTGCCTCACCACAAACGGAAACTAGTAAATATTAGTAGTCATGATGCTGCTACCACTATTTTTTTCCACATTAGGCTATTACATAATGACAGTTTTGTCGGCTTATCTTATATTATTGCTCCATTTCTCCTTCAATTCATATTATTAATCTACTAACACTACTAATTTCTTCTAGTTTTTTTTTGCATGACTGAAAAAATGACTCTGCATTTGCTTTATGATTTTTCTCACGCAAAAAGTAAATTTATGGAGCTTGAAATGAGAAGCATTTCTTTTCGCTTCATTGGAACAGCAAAAAAAAATAGTAAATAAAGTTAATTATTTTCCATGAGACAGCTGACCTAACGTTGCATTTTAATATGCTGTAAGTAGATTCAGAGGAGCAGCAACCTGAAAAGGGGAGTCATACAGCAATGATGTGGAATATTAAAAATATAGGGAGTCTATATATGGCTCGAAGAGCTGTAGAAGACAGACCTGAGCAAACGGCTCACTGTGAAACTGGTTGTATCTGAATGACGGATAGCCGAAGTGCGATAAGTACCTCGGTGGCTTAGTGGCAGGGATGTCTGATAGAGTGATCAGAGATCGCCTTATTTGAGATCGTAAGTTCGATTCCCAATAAGCTCGACTTGTTTTTCATTAGTTTACATATACAGCAGTTAAAAGGAGATCAACAGGGAGGATTCGACTGGCACAAAACAGTTTCTTAGCTCTCTAAGTTGATAACTTGATAGTAAGATGCAAAATAGTGCCTTGACGGTACTCTAACGGATATTTTAAAGTCAATTTGATGACACGTAGGATTAATTAAGGCGAGGGATGTGCAGTTCTGTGAATTTATATCCAAGTCTACATAAATTGGTCATTTAAAAGGTTTAAAGCCATATGACATTCCATAGTTTGAATAAGAAGATCTTCAAATAAAAATCCAACATACATCATTTACGATCGTCCCCACAAAGCCCTCCATGCCATATTTAGAAGCGAAAAAATTATACACTCAATATCTCGATAACCCATCCCACCTATATATTTAAAGCGCATTAATGAATCGTGTAAAATGCCAATTCAGCACAAGCTTGTTCAACTATTATGCAATTTTGTGTAAATACTAGCAATAGAATTACCGAGAAGAGGCGAACAATGGAGGGAAATGGGTACATCAAATATACATAAGTCATTAACTTTTTGCATGTCGCATGGGTCTCAATCATAATAATACATAAATTGAATGCACATTCAATTGAAATCAGTTTTGTTGTTTTTGGATTGAATGAAAAATTTATTTTCCGGTGTAACAAGCCATCAGCAGCAGCATAAAATTTATTCTGCTATAAAAGCACAAAATTAGTCTAAAAATGAAATTCAATGAATTTTGAATCATATCCAAACATATCTCAAACGATATTGACGAAAACAGTTTGAGGTATTAGGAAATAGCATAAAGCAGAGAGAGGATTTAATGATATTCAATTGAGAAGAGATTGCCGCTTTTTATTATTGGACATATTTTTCATTTTCGGAATTAAACATATTCGTTGTTTTCCATCCAAGCAAAAAAACATGAAAATGGCTCTATAAAATATTTCGATATTATTGCATTTATTTTCAATTAATCTTTAAAAGGCATTAAAAATCACGATTTTCTGTTTTTTCCATCCAATTGTAACAAATTCATAACCAGCTAGTAAATAAATGCATACACACAAAAATAAATAACAAGAAGGGGCTATTTTAAAATGCGACATATGTCGGAGAATTTAAATGACTGAATATGTATCGACAAATATATATCGTGTGTATGGTGTGGTCTTATGCTGACTTTAAAAAAAAATAAATTTTATTACGCAACATTATGAATTAAAAGATGAAAAAAATATGAGACATTTATTCAGGAAATTGAATAACTCCGGTTAATTTAATTTATTTTTATGGACATTAATCAATTAATTGTTTACAATTAAGCCGATAATACTGACTGCTTAAATGGTTGTTTAAGGAAGTTTTAAAGTCATATGTATCAAGATTAATGGGACTTGATATGCCGATTTGGAAATTATGGAGTGATATGGGAGGTTTTGGAAAGGTATGAACATTTTTTCGCGAGGCTTTTGGTTCATTAAAATGACAAGAATTGGTATTAAGAGGAATTTAAGGTGAAGTTTTTGGGTTGCATTAGGGGTTTGTAAATCTTAAGAGTGTGGATAGATATTAATGCTGTTTTGAGAATCAATACTAATTATTCAACGTTTTATTGAGAAGTTCTTAACTTTTCGATAGAATATTTTTAAGGACTACCCTCTTTGTGAGATCTCATAGATTTCAAGAGAATCAATTTGGTTGATGTTGCAAAACAAGAAAATAACGTGCCTAGACATCCAGACCAGTCAGGATAATATAAACACAGTAGTGATACCTGATTGGTTTTTTGAGTATTTGAAGAGATGGGGGGGGGGGGGGGGGGGTGTGGTTCAATGTGAAGAAAGAAAATCAAAAATCTCTTAAAAAGTTTATGGCAATTTATGGATGCAACCTTTTGCCGATGAATGCAAGCATCTGGAATAGAAAATCGTATAATTTTTGGTATCAGTATGTTCTGCCTGACCCCCGAGATACACTATTCACAATTAAATTTTATTTATACCTCAAAGCAAAGTACCTCAATTTTAAAAATGACTATAAGTTTCAGAAAGCATTAAAAATCAGCCGCAGACTCAGAATTTTCAAAATAATCCAGCTCAGATAATAACAAAATTATGAAACAACACAATAAATCCCATCAAATTTTAACTCCAACCACCTCAACATCTTCCCAATAAAATTATTTAACAAATGAAAGACAATGCACAAGAATCACTGACAGAAGTAATCCATCCATCTCACAATTCACACAATTCCCCCAGCTGTAATAACCACAGTCGATTGCCATCTAAATATGGCAAAAAAAAAAATACGACTTGCTACTGACTTGCTTGACAAAAAAATAAAATTCATAAAGTTGTTGTAAATAATAATTATCGCAGCGCAGCACAGCATAAAAACTATCACTTTACATCACTGTAGATGCTCAAAAATTGAACCCTTCAATTTATTCGTTTAACAACAATTTTATTTGTAAATACACAACATCTGTGGTGTCATTTAAATATTTTCTGTAGTTGAACTCTCTCACACTTTTTAAGTATGTGGAGATAGACATTAATATTAATATTATTAACATACATGAGCATTAGATGCACATACGGGTCGTAATTTTCTCTCATTATTCTCAATGCATTTTTATGATTTTCTTGTTCGAGCCTGAATAGAATTTTTAAAACAATAAATATTAATTTTTTTTATGTTGTTTTAAGGGAGAGAACTTCCATTTTTCCCTTGAATAATCAATTCGATGCATGATAATGTGACATTCAAAAATATGTTCAGATTAAATTGAATAAATTAGGAGTCGTTCACTGATTACGTGCCTTTTGTATTTAGAAGTGAGGGGGGGTCTGAATTGGTTAAGAATTGTTTATATAGAGAAGGGGTGTAAGGTGTAGGAGTGGGTCTAAAAAAAAATCATTCTTATCATAACCTAACAAGTGAACAGCCCCTCAAAGCAATCACAAAGAAAGTTCCGATAATGAACAAATAAAAAAATGTTGAAATTGTTAATTGCGTGAAATTTTGCACCATTAACTTAAATGAGAGCTTGAGCTCATAAAATTGAAAATTGAATGGAATTGGCGAAAATAAGAGTTTATTTAATAACAAAAGGTAAATACCAACTTGAATGAAAATAAATAACTTGAAGGTAATGTAAATTGGCACTCATTTAGTCATTGTTATGCTTTCTTCTTTTAGGTCTACACGTTTATGCCATATTATTAAAATACATAAAAATGGACATTGCCATATGTCTCTTTTTTTATGAACATTAGACTTTATTTACTTTTATGAACTCTCATTCCATGTGATCAACTTACTGTTAACCTATTGAGCACCCAATTTTGTTTACTCTCCTCTGCCTATTCAGTTCTTCTATTTATAACAGTGTTTCTCAAACTTTTTAGACTGCGGAGCACTAAATTAGAAGTAGATCATCCGTTCATGTTTTCACGCCACGCTGGCAACCGCTATTGACACATCTAGAATTTTCCCGGGAACAGTAAAGCTCCTCGGAGCAAAGATTGAGCAACACTGACTTATAATATAAAATATATTATTTTATGTTTTATTTAAATTTATGTTGGGTGTGTTGGGTATGTCGCATGCAGACTGGCATAAAAAATATGCAAATGACAAAGACATGGAATGCAAAAGTTCAGTTCACTCGTAATCAATTTTAATTATTATAATATCTAGCAGATATGTATTCTATATTATATATAGAAAATCTAGCAGAATATGGACTAAGCAGCAGGCAAATGATTTTCGAAGTAGAAATAAACCCAAGCTTCAGATTTATGGGTCTCGAAATGTTAATTTAGGGCTACATTGAGCATTGGAGGTTCATTTGGAGTCTATGTACATTCCAGAATAATTTGGGGCTTTATTCCACAGCTATACACCCTTCCGTCCACCAATATCATTGACAGTCAAGCCAATTCATAGAATTCAGCCTCAAATCTCATCCACAGAATCTACAAAATCAAACTAGATCTATTCCATTAAATTTAACGCTCTAAAAATCAACCCAAATAATGAAATCAACTCAACCCAAAAGTCACTTAAAATTCAATAACGATTTTTGTTGAAAT